GTAATACATAAAACACAACGAGCAATAAGACGAAGAAGGAGGAGGGGGGAGAGGATAAGATGGAAGGACATATATATTAAATACTATAATAGTTTTAAACGATTAGTACAAAAGGAACAGTTATTCCGACAACATCGTTTTCCACGTGTTCGATCGTGAGAATGATACTGTAAAAAATACACACCAATGCTCAACAACGTGGATATCGGAAAGTATCTCATGGAACAGGACGATTGTAATGAACGAGGTGTGAAGAGAAAGATAACATTCGACGATGAAAATCCCGATAAAGAAAACACATCAAATAAGTAGGTATTTTTTTCTTTGCGTCTCTTTTTCTATCTACTAATTTTTTTCTTTAATTACAGACATCAAATCACACATCGTCCTATCGTACGCATTCTCGAGAGAAGATATCCGTTAACCGTAACTGGCTACAAATACTGAACATTGATATCAATGTTAAACTCCCTTCTTACGTAACTATCATTTTGGGAGATTCTCACGGTAAAGAGATTCCACTGTCACATCTGGAGAGAGCTTCTCGAACAAAAACACGTCATTTTGTCCCTTTTGCAGTACGATGAGAATAATAGAAGAATACGCGCGACGCCGTCCCCAATGTACGTTGGAAATTTAACGTTACGCTTCGGACGAATCAATAATTTACCATTACTGCGTCTAGAAACAAGTACAGCTCGTCTATCAATGTTGAAAAACACTGTACTTAATATATTTAATCTCGAATACTGTGTGAATCATCTCATTTCCTCCTTAACCGCAATGACCGATAACGTCGACAAAAAATTTTCACGACTACTGGCGCCCACCGTCACGAAACCCGCGAACATGTTGAAAACGATGTACGACGATGAATCCTTCCACTGCAACAACATCCTCGATTGCAAGTTGATCGTTCTGGTTTTCGGAGAGCATTAATTATTTACATCGACAATAAACAATATTCTACAATTATAAAGCACTTTTATTTATTTTTACACCCTACCTTTATATACTACATGTTGGTAGGAGAGCTGTGTCTCTTTTGCGTTACGTGAAACGCTATTTTCTCATTGACTAATATATGCTACAAAGAAAAGAAAGAAAAAATGCCTCCGCCAAGCGCGGAGGATGGTAGAAGACTACTTTAACAAAATGGCCATGCTGCCGCGCACACACGGGCCCAACAGCGCTACGGAAGCGCCATGGAAGCGCTAAGGTAGAGTCGGTAAGCCGAGGCGCGCGATAACGGATCGGCTGAGGCGCATACTTATGATAACAGGCGCTAAGCGCCAACATGCCGCCGCCCTTGAAAGGATCGCCTTTCAACGAATATAAGTGATTCTAATTGACAAATAAAAGTAGCATTAAACCTAAGGATTATAACGACAATTAGCAAAAAAAAAGAAATGTTAATACAAATAGTAAACCTTAAATGCCATAACCAGATCCTACCTCTCAATTGGTAGCAGGCAGAGACGGGTGATAGGCCGTTTATAAATATCGCTGGCGGTACGCACAGTTACAACCCGGGGTATGGCATCCTTGTCTGGGTGTATCTATTGAATTCTTCCCAGAGGCCATGATAATGGAGGAGCGTTATCTTCTTTGATGATAACCATTTGACCGATGTGTACAGGCGGTTTGTTTACCTGCCATTTATTGAGTTCTTAACATTGGTGAAGGTACTCATGCGTCCACCGCTTCCAGAAGTGTTGACGCAGTTGTTCAATATATTGCCATCGCGACAGGTGGTTTATTGGTAACTCGCCCAAAGATGGCTCGGGATAAGATGTGAGAGGTGTGCCTACCAAGAAATGTCCCGGAGTTAACGATGCGAAATCGTTTGGGTTTGCCGAAATGGGAGTAAGAGGACGGGAGTTTCCTCAATCAAGAAGCCTCAATCTGGATAAGTAATATCTCCAACTCCTCGTATCTCAGGCTGGAATTCCTTGTTACGCGAGCCAAGTGTCGCTTGGCAGCCTTTACTGCTGGCTTCCCATAAGCCGCCATGGTGTGGAGACCAAGGCGGTATGAAATGCCAGTAAACTCCTAGAGTTTCTGTCCGGTCTGGATTTGTTGTTGAGTTAACTCATTACGAAGCAAGTCTCTTAGCTCATTTAATTCGCGTTCGGCACCTACGAAGTTCAGTCCGTTGTCAGAGAAAACATCTGAAGGACAACCCCTTCTCGCTACGAAGCGCTTGAAGACGTTCAGAAATGCTTCCGATGACAAACTGGTTGCCAATTCAATGTGTACCGCCTTGGTGGCTAAACAAACAAAAATTGCAATGTAACATTTCACTAGCTTAGTGGTTTTCCTACGACCTTCCTTGTAGTAGAGAGGACCGGCATAGTCCACCCCGCATTGATCAAATGCTCTTAGAGACGCTTTAACCCGCGGTTCCGGTAAATTTCCCATTATGGCGGATGCGAGTTTCGAGGAACTTTTAAAGCAGACGACGCATTTTGTGAGAATATGTCGAATGATTCTGTGTGCTGAGATGAGCCAGTAGCGCTCACGCACTGCGGCCAGCGTCGCTTGCGGTCCGGCATGAAAATGCTTCTCGTGCTCATGCACTATAATTATGCGGGAAAATGGATGATTCCCAGGTAACAGCATTGGATGCTTGGATATGTAAGGCAATGAAGATGCGCTCAGGCGGCCCCCCACCCGTAAAATGCCGGAATCGTCAAGGAAGGGATTCAATTTTAGGATAGGACTGGTTGTGCGAATAGCTTCATGATTACTGAGGGTGCAGTCCCATGGAGCGTATCAGGCGTATCGCGGATTGCGCGTATCGAAAATCTGACCAATTGCGGACCTTCCGCTGTTCTTGATTCGCTGCCGTTCCGCTGAAGTCATTATTTAGCGTATTAATCGAGCGGATTGAGGTTAACATAAAGAGTAAAAATTACAAGAAACTGCTATTTTCCTTTAATCTTTCTTGATATGAACAATTATGAATGAAGAAAATATAAGTCCTGTGAGTAGCATATAGCATTTTGAAATATTATTTTCGTAATATTTATAATATTTATTAATTATAATATTTTAAGGTTAGTTTAAAATTTGATGAAGCATATTTTTGTTTACTCTAAATATTTGTAATTTGTAATTCATGATATAAATACGGATATAAATATTGTATTATGAACTGCAAATTACAAATTGTTATAGGTAGCAAAAGTCTTTTTTTACATCAAAATAATTACTTTTGTTTTTTGATGTTTATTATGTTTCTTTCCTTGCAGCTAATAAAGTGTGGAAGTTGTAATTGGCAAATCAATGGGTTATTACATACCAGCTTGTTATTCTTGTTTTGAACATTTTGATGAAGGAAAACATTTACTGTATGTTAATGACAATAATGTTGCATCTATTAGTAAGTATTTTAAGAACAATAATTATTTGTTTAATCAGTTCTGTAATAAATACATACATATAATTCACGCTGGTTTAAAGTTTAACTATTCATTTTATTACAATTTATTGATGCAACAAGCACTACCACAAGTCAGTTGTAGTACACATATTACAGTTATATGTATACTACAATGTGTGTATATATTATATATATGTTTATGCATATTTTATATTTACAAGTTGAAAAGGATCAATCAAAAGACATCCAAGCAAGCAATATTACTGATTACAATGAAGCGCTTATTAATGCTGTATACGCTAGACCTGCATTATACAACTATCGTATCAGTCAAAGAAAGGATACCTTTGAAAAAAAGGCATTATGGAATGAAGTCGCGAATTTAATGGCTACAATGACAGGTACAAATGACGTAGAATTTGTCCAAAAACGATGGAAGCAACTTCGTGACAGTTACGTTAAGGCGAAAAAAAAGGAAAAGGCATACGTGCGGAGTGGATCTCCTGGAGATGGTGTACAAAATAAGATTGTTTTTGCCTTCTACAACCAGATGAAATTTCTTGATGACACGATAGAAAAACCGTGGTAAATATTTTTTTGTGAACAACTTTTTTCAAATAGACATCAAATAAATCATTTGTTGGATGCTATTTTTTTGTTTTAGTGTATTCAAATAATTCTTTCTCCTTTCCGATAAATGAAAAAAATTGAAATAGTTTGAAAAAAATTCTATCTCGTTTTTGTCCACGATATTTTTAAATTAAAATAATTTGAAAGGAATTATATAAAAATAAATATCAGATTCAATTCTTTTTTATTCATCGGCTTAGGTATTAGATCAAAGAGAAAGAAAATTTATTATAATTATAAATTTAAATTTATTATAATTATAATTATACATTGATTTGTTAATCCACAGCATAGTCACTAGTTTATCAGCAGATGTATATGAATGTTCAATGCAACCGAAAACTAATACTACTCAAACGATTCCGACACCTCAAACATCACATTCTATCTCGTCGGATAGCTGGGTTAATATATCTGATAAGTCAAATGATGATACTTTTTCATCTAAGACACAATCATCAAAGAAAAGAAATCAGTTTTCATTATTTTTTCAATACTTTTTGAATGCAATTATAATTTTTAATTTTTAAAAGAGACATATTGCTTTCATATTTTAGAAAAGAAAGAACACGATGATAGCTTAGACATTGAAATAACAAAAGCAATCTTGTCCAGTATTCAAGAATCAAAAAATATGCCTGATGCTGTTGACGGGTTTTTCCTCCAAATAGAAAATAGATTACGGGCACTGCCACAACGAGAAAGGACAAAATTTGAAATAAAAATACTAACCGATCTTTACGAATTGGAAAATTCATTGCATTAAATTTGTGCTTTTCATTTTTATATTTTATTTTATTATGATATTACTTTTATACAAGTTAAAGTAATGTGAAGTTTAACATATTACGAAATAATAAATAATTTTATATGTTTCTAAATAGCTTTATTGAAATTTTTTAATTATTTGTAAAGATTCAGGTAAATTATAATAATTTTAATATTTGTTTTAAATATATATATATTTATTATCATTTCTGTACAATTAAAAATTGTTCTGTACAGCTTTTTCCCATTGATAAGGTAATGCGCCATTTCCATTAAAAAATGCAGTGTATGCGTGTCGAACTTCGATTCCACTTTGAGATGTTCTTCCTCTACAGATTGGCAATGAGCGAAGCTCTCCTGAATTCATTGGTGAATTGAAGTCACCTTCATTAATATTCACATACCTACGTGGTAATTGCAATTGTTCTTCATTATTAATAATAAAATTATGCAACACTACTGTTGCTTGCACAATTTTCTTTGCATTAGCAACACTTGATATTATTGGCCTTCTGTAAATTCTCCATCTCTCTGCCAATATTCCAAAAGCACTTTCTACCACTCGTCTTGCTCTACTAAGCCTGTAATTAAATACTTTTTTTGACAAGTCCAATCTGCCACTCCGTGGGTACGGCCTCATTATAAAGTTACTCAATGGAAAGGCTTCATCAGCTAGCAGCACATAAGGGAGAGCTATTCCATTAATTTTAATTGGCTTCGGATTTGGCTTTAATGAACCACTTTCGACATAATTTGCAATAAGGCTGTTCCGAAAAACTCCTCCGTCGCTCTGTCTGCCTTCGCCTCCGATGTCGACAACAGTAAAGTGATATTTGGCGTCGCTGATTACTAGGAGATTAATACTATGGTCTCTTTTGTAATTGAAATATGTCGAGCCGGAATTCGGTGGAGCCTATAATGAAATACATTTATCAGCAGTGTTAGTATATAATTGATTAGTTTTTATTTTTAATATTGCATTTTATCATATATACCGTTAAAGTTACATGTTTTCCATCTATGGCTCCCATACAATTTGGAAAATTCCAGAGCCTTTCAAAATTATTAATAACATTTTGCCAGCTCTCTTCATTATTTTTTATAAAAGCAGTATCTTTCAAACATTGCCAAATGGCTTCGCAAGTCTCTGACACTATTTTAGAGATGGTATTGTGTCCAACACGGAAGGCATATGATAAGGATCGCGTACTATCTCCAGATGCCAAGAACCTTATGGTAATATGTAGCCTTGTTTCAGGTGGAATAGCTTCTCGAACTGCAGATTGTTTAGTAATTGAAGGTCCGACTAATTGTAATAATTTCTCAAAAAGTACCGGTTCCATTCGGAAATAATTAAAAAATTTTTCATGATCACGTTGTTCTAATTCATTAACGAGATTATTGCTCGCTCCTTGTGCTAAACGTCGTTCAATGGAAAATATTGATCTGACCCAATATTTCCGTTTTCGTTTATTCATAATTGTCCTCTCGCTTTTCAATGTTAAATAATAAAGTGCATAAAGTTTATTAATTTTACGATGTATTTCATGCCTGGTAAAAACATCGTAATTTATTCGTTTTAAACGTTTTATTAATAAAACAATTAAAAGCAATATTGTTTTCGATTTCATTCTGCACCTGTTAAAAGTCAAATGTTTCATTTACTTATACTAAATAAATTAATAAATTAAATATAATTCACTTTACGTATACATACTGTGGATATTCTTCTATTCTTCCGTCTGCTCTTTGTTCCTATGGTCCCATGAAGCGGAATTCGCGTAAGCGGATCAGTGGTTCACCAATCACAAGACTGTTTGGATGAAAGAAATAACAAAATTCGTTTCATGATTGAGCATTCGCTTGATTCGCTTACGCAAATTCCGATTCATGGGACCGTAGGAACGAAACGTTCACGTACCGAAAGCAGCGGAACGTTCGCGATTGGTCAGATTTTCGATACGCGCAATCCGCGATACGCCTGATACGCTCCATGGGATTGCACCCTGAGCGACTTTATCTCTTTTGAAAAATGCTTCGCCTGTATTATCTTGACTAGCCGATGGATAGCCTGTAATTGCTCATCGGAAGATATTGGTTGAATGACATTGCTCAGTGAAGATGGTGCTTCTTGAGGTTTGCCTGATGAAGATTTTGAACCTTTGAGTCTGTCTAAAAAACGAGCCATGTACGTAAAGACTCGAACAAGCCTATTAAGTTTTGAATATCGATAAAATATGTCAGATTCTTGTGTACTAGTTGCCGCCGCTATGATAGTTTTAGATTTGCGCTCAGGGACGTTGGTCACGTTGATGGGAATAGCCATTTGAGGCCAGCTTTCCTGATCACGCCCCAGCCAGGAAGGCCCCGACCACCAGATATTCAGTTGAGCCAGAGAACTCGGCATGATGCCCCGGGACAATGGGTCCGCAGGATTGTCCTCACTTCGTATGTGATTCCATTGTTGAATCGATGTTAATTCCTGAATCTCACCGACGCGGTGAGCTACAAAGGTTGACCATGATCTATTGCACGATTGCAGCCACGACAATGCAATGTAGAATCCGTCCATAGGTAAATGGCGGAAATTTTACACGTGAGACATTTCGAGATCTTGCTGATGAGTTGAGCTAGTAATAATGCACCACATAACTCGAGGCGAGGGAGTGACACACCTTTCAATGGCGCCATCCTGGATTTGGAGCACAGAAGAGAAGAGATGTGGAGCACAGATACGATAATCACCACTGTTTGAGATAGAGCGCAAGTAAATGCATGCTCCGTATGCACTCGCTAGCGTCCGAGAACCCATGCAGTTCCAAACGGGTGTGTTGCTCTGTGGTTATGACAAGGCGAGGAATACATAAGTTATTCATCTCCTGCAACTCTCTTTCGAAATGCTTCCATTTGGTATTCAATTCCAAGGGAATCGATTCATCCCAATCGAGCTTGAGTCGCCAGAGATCTTGCATGATGATCTTGGCGAGTAATGTGACTGGACCCAACAGTCCCAGTGGGTCAAAAATGAGAGATATACGCGATAAAATGCTTCGTTTGGTAGGCACCTCTAAAGCAGGTAGATGATTGATGGATGAATATTTGAATACGTCGGCCCGGCAGTTCCATGCAATGCCTATCGTTCTTTTCTCGGAGCCTTTGTCGGTGGATAGAATGAACTCTTTTTGCTCGACGGAGGAGTTGCAATCTTGGAGGCCGAGAGAATTGGATGACCATTTTCCAAGCTCGAAGCCTCCTTCTTGCAGTAATGCGGTGATCTCTTGCTTGATGAACAAGGCTTCTTCTACAGAGTCCGCCCCAGTGACGAGATCATCAACGTAGAAATCTCGGAGAGCTAATCGAGCCGCTCTTGAATAGCGATCTGCACTGTCCTCTGCTAACTTTCTCAAAGCTCTGATGGCGAGGAACGACACTGACGAGGTGCCATAAGTCACTGTAAGTAGTTCGAAGGTTTTGATGGGCTCGTCTTGGGACTGTCGCCAAAAAATACGTTGTAGGGTTTGAGTTGAATCAACCAGAACTTGTCGATACATTTTTGCTATATCAGCGGTAACAGCAATTTTAAATGTTCGGAATCTGATCAAAATGGAAAAAAGATCTTCTTGTATTGTAGGTCCTACCATTAACGCGTCATTTAAAGATAGTCCAGTTGTGATTTTGCATGAGCCGTCAAACACCACTCGGAATTTTGCAGTGGGACCCGATCCGGTTTGTACAGCATGGTGCGGGAGATAAAAACCTGGAGAGCTTGGGCTTGGCATCACGTGACTGTTCACCTCCTTCATGTGATTCAATTGGGTGTATTCGCCCATGAACTTCTTGTATTCGTCATACATGCGAGGTTGAGCGATGAGCCGCTTTTCCAAAGATTTGAAACATCTTAGAGCAATGTCCATGGATTCTCTCAGGCCACTTAGTTTGTCTTGCTTTATTGGAAGCTTGACGATAAAACGCCCTTCGCTGTTGCGGGTTACACCATGTAGGAATGACGCCTCACAGGCCTTTTCTTCGGGGGAAAATGGTTTCGCGGTACCGTTATGTTCAATCTCCCAAAACCGATTCAATGTAAGCCTTAATTCGTCGAGCGAGGTTAGGTGAAAATTATGAGATGAAACAGATCTGGTTATGTCACTCGGTGTGATACCGGAGATGACCCATCCAAAATGTGTCTTTTGCAACGTTGGCTGATATTTTAAGCGTTTGATTTGACCTGCACAAATGAGCCTCCAGAAAGACTCGGCTCCTATTAAAATGTCAATGCTAGCTGGTACGTTGAAATTCGGATCAGCAAGCTTTAGGTGTTTTGGAACGGACACATTTTGCATGGGTATGAAATGCTGCGGTAAGTGTTGTGTTATATTTGGAAGCACGACGCAATCCATCGTCTCGCAAAAATTATTAAAACGCGATTTGACGCATAGACTAACTATTTTATTGGCGTGAATCACTCCATCCATGACTCCCGCCACCGCAATATCAAGGGATCGCTCCTCAAGTTTCAGTCGATTAGCTAATTCTTTCGTTATGAAATTTATTTGGGAACCGCTATCGAGTAATGCTCGACATGAATGAATCTGATTGCTCGAATCATATACGTTAACGACCGCGGTCGATAGTAAAATGTTTACAGAGCGATGACCTGACGTACACTGAGTGGTGACGGGGAGTGGAGGATTGGTAACCTGACTCGATGATTGCGCGTTTGATACAGATTGATCGGAATCATTTGAACTGTTTAAGTGTAGCAGCGTATTGTGCTTCTTGCTGCATTTTCGGCAAGTACTTGAATTACACGCCTTCGCTTGATGTGAGTTTGATCGCAAGCAATTAAGACATAAGTGCGCCTTTTTCGCGGCCTTAATTCGATCTTCGATTGATAAATTGATAAATTCCTTACAATGATATATTGAATGATTTTGTTTACACATGGCACAAGAAAGATTGGATGTAGCGACGTTCGCGAAGGATGGGGACTTTGAATTGCTACTATGCTTTTGTGTGACGCTATTTGCTGAGCTGTTGTGACATCTACCGTGTATTGATTCCAATGCCTGGCATCGGAGCGACAAGAATTCTATCAACCTTTTTAAATCCGGTAGGTCTGTTCCTTTGATACTTAATTCCCACGCCTTACTAGTGGCTACATCCAACTTGGAAATGATAAGATGGACGATTAAATCGTCCCAATGAACCGTAGGCCTCTTGAGGGCCTTGAGCGCGCGCAAATGTTTGAGAACAGTGTCTATTAATTCACGAATCATGCTATGATTTTCCTTACGCATGGCTGGTATTTTGAATAAGGCGCGAACATGCCTTTGAACAAGCCACCTCTGATTGTCGAAACGTTCCTTGACCGCTGCCCAAGCCTCACCATAATTAGCTGCAGTGGTCTCTATAGATTTGATTATGTTAGCGGCAGTATCCTTCAAGGAGGATCTCAGATAGTGAAACTTTTCGATTTCAGATAGATCCTCATTTAAATGGATTAACTTTTCAAAAGTGTCTCTGTAGGAATACCAATCATCGTATGCACCTGCAAAAACTGGTAAATCTATCTTTGGCAATTTGACACGCGTTTCCCTCGAACTAACCGAATGCCTGTTATCAGTGGATGAACTCGACTGAGATGCGCTTTGCTCTTTTTGCTCAATGAGAGCTGTATAACGAGCCATTAATTGGAAATAAGGCCCTTCAAAACTATCTCGCTGTTGCGCTTGTAGATCATGAAGCACTTTTTTATCGGTGATCGAGGGATCGGCGTTTTCAAGAATTTCTATACGCGATTGAGCTGCCTCAAACTGCCTCCACAATTCCGATAATCTTTGCTTGCTCTCTGTGAGATCGTGCCACGAACCTCCGACCGTATCAAAATTATCGATAAATGTTTTTAGCCGAGTGGCCGCAGCTCTTATGTGAGCTCTCTTGCTTTTTGCGTCTGATAATGATAATGTATCCATGGCTGAACACTAAATGTAATGCTAAACGCTAAATTGATTACGTAGTAACGCGAAGTCGCTGGAATGTGCCAACGCAGCAGCCTAACCAATGAAAATGCGATAGTCTGATATGAATGCAAATGGCCGCCGTGGCATGCGAAAATGTAAAATGGCAGCTCTTGTGAGCGAAAATAATGGACGGCGTATGGCGTCACTCATGAACGAAAGCAAAGACTTCCTTGAATGCGATCTCTTTATTGACATTGTTGTGATCATAAAGAATGCTCTTACCTTATTATATGTAGCTCAGATAAACTTTGTGATTACTTACTGCGTGCAATCGAAGTGATTGTATTACGTCACCCTTGCAACAGATATTGCCTGTATGCATGTAATACCTGTGTATTCGTGTGTCTACCTGAATCTGTGAAACTCATAGGATCCGTGGAAGATCCGGCTCGAAGGACCAATGTTGGTAAGAGAGCTGTGTCTCTTTTGCGTTACGTGAAACGCTATTTTCTCATTGATTAATATATGCTACAAAGAAAAGAAAGAAAAAATGGCTCCGCCAAGCGCGGAGGATGGTAGAAGACTACTGTAACAAAAATGGCCATGCGGCCGTGCACACACGGGCCCAACAGCGCCACGGAAGCGCCATGAAAGCGCCAAGGTAGAGTCGGTAAGCCGAGGCGCGCGATAACGGATCGGCTGAGGCGCATACTTATATTAACAGGCGCTAAGCGCCAACACTACATATACTTTATATAGTTTAAAGGAAAAGGAAATAGTCTATAATTTTTCAAGGAAAAAAAGTTAAAATAATTTGTATTAGGTGTTAAACTTAATTCCTGCCGTTTTTTCGTCTCCAAAATTGATTTGTTTCGAAGGGAAGATGAATGAATACCTTAATCAAAGTAATTTCCTCCATTTTCTATTACTTTTTCCCATTTCTCTGGCAACAGGGCAATCCCACGATGGTAGAACGCGATGTCTTTCGAGGCGATTCATGCGTCCACCCATTTTTGGACTTTGTTGTGACTGGAGAAGTGTGTGTCCGTAAGTGCGTGTTGCATCGGAAAAGATGGCAATCCGACGGTGCCAAGTCTGGAAAGTACGCTGGATGCGGGAGAACTTCCCATTCAAGCTCTAGAAGTGCCTGCTTCACGCTTTTTGCGACATGCGGTCGAGTGTTATCATGCAACAAAATGACTTTACATGTAACAACCTGACTTTGCGCGGACGTAGCTCGTCGGTCACGGGCTGCGGCTAGGGTCGCAAAGAAGTTCGGCCAGGAGGAGAGAGACAAGGCGGTAGCGATGAAATAAAATACGGCTTTGTGAAATAAGAACGATAATGTATTGTGTTGTGTAGATACAGAATGCGAGTATGTGTATGTGTATGTGTATGTTTGCGTGTGTATGTGTGCTACCAGTCGTCGCGACTGATATTTGCTGCCGGCGG